GTGATGGGTCCACGTGATTCTTGGGTGGCATGTGTTGCCGTGTGTGTGTACGTACCCTCGTTTACTATGAAATTGGTGGTCTTGTTGGTGGTTTGTTGGTGGGGGACGACGGTCCCAGGAGGGAAAATGTTGGACTAAGAAGTACAGGGGTCCTGGAGGTAATGGTTGGAAAGAAGGTACAAGGTTGGGGGTAGCCATAAGGTTGGAACCGGGCATAAGGAAGGCATATCAACTCGTGATGGGTGATGTCACGAGGGCTTGTGTAGCCATTGTGGTAAGTTCTTCTCTTGTGACGTGTGTAGTCACAGAGGCATGTGTTGCCCTTGGGTGAGTCTTATTCCTTTGCGTTGTGATTGTCGGGTTTTGATCTATTGAGTGATGATAGATCATGCCTTGACTCTTTTTGGCGAGTCATGTTGTTCCTTGTGGTCTTGGGATGTGTTCCCGTGTTATTGATGAGAGTGTTGAGTTTTGTGATGACTATTGCTCTTGGTTTTGTACTTATATACTTATGTATTCCGTTTCGAAAATGGCTTTACAACTTATATCTTACTTATGTACGATATTTCACATGTATTGGTGGGTTACCAGCATTATTCGCTGACCGGGCGTCGTCCCATGTTTTATTGTGTTCTTTCAGGTGATGTCTAGGCGAGCGCGTGGTCTAGTACTTGCTGGAATAGTTTCCCCTCTCGTTTTGTGGCCTGTGAGCCAGTGTAGTTGTAGAACTTTGAATTTATGGGATTAGTTTTAAACATTGCAGATATTGCCTGTGCGTTCATCTTTGTGGTGAACGTGGCATAACACCCTGTGTATCAGACTTTACCTATCTATCTATCGTTCAGACTTCCGCTGTGTTGAATGTTCAGTTCCATTATCTGCATGTTTTAAGGCATTTTATAGCATGTTTTTAGGGGGTGTTACATTAAGTGTGTGTGTGTGTGTGTGTGTGTGTGTGTGTGTGTGTGTGTGTGTGTGAGTGAGATCAGGTGTGAAGGAGGTATCAAGTGCGAACATGCGATTAGATCTGAGTCGTTGATCAAATATAGATCAACGACAAAAATCAATGAAAACTTTTAAAGAAACGCGCGTATAGAAAGATGAACTGCCTTAAGTGTTAGAACAACGCACCTTAAGTGTTAAAATGAGGCAAAAGTCTTAACATTGCCCGCCTTCAGTTTATAAAAGTGGTGCACCTTAAGTGTTACAAAGACGTAATTTAAGAAGAAAAATCACGCACATAAAGCTTTAAACCGACACACCTTATGTTTAAACAAAAAACGCACCTTAAGTTTCAACGAAAAATACACCTTAAGCATAGAAACCACGCACCTTAAGAAGGAAAACGACCCACCTTAAGAAGGATAACGATGCACCTTAAGTTTGACCAATATCCAAAAATACCAAATTGCCACCGTATTTTTTTTTTTAAGTTTTCTTCAATCTAGGCTGTTAATTTTGATTAGATCAAGGGCTGAGATAATTAAACCCCATATTTTACCTGAGGCCTATTACCGCATTTGATCTCTATTTTATATATATATATATATATATATATATATATATATATATATATATATATATATATATATATATATGTATGATAGAGAGAAGATGCGGTTACTGTGCCCAGGTAAAATATGCGGTGAGATGAGAGTCATTGATCTTACCAAAATCAATGTCCAGGATTGACAGGGATTTAAAAAAAAAAACGCAGTGGCCATTTGGTCATTTTCCGTATTGATCAAATATATATGATAGAGAGATGATGCGGTTACTGTGCCCAGGTGAAATATGCGGTGAGATGAGAGTCATTGATCTTACCAAAATCAATGTCCAGGATTGACAGGGATTTAAAAAAAAAACGCAGTGGCCATTTGGCCATTTTCCGTATTGATCAAATTTAAGGTGCGTCGTGTTCCTTCTTATGGTGCATGGTTTCTGTGATGAAGGTGCGTCAGTTATTCAGTTAGAACCTAAGGTGCATGCGTTTTTTGTTGAAGCTTTAAGTGCGTTATTCTAAAACTTTAGGTGCGTCTTTCCATAGGTTAAGGTGCGTTCTTTTAACATTAAAGGTACGTCATTTGAACATTTAAAGTGCGTCAGTTATAAACTTAAGGTGCATAAGTTCTACGCTTAAGGTGCGCCATTTTATACTTAATTAAGGTGCGTGATTTTACTACTTAAGGTGCATCTTTGTAATACTTAAGGTGCGCCATTTTTAGAAATTGAAGGTGCGCGATGTTAAGACTTAAGGTGTGCCATTTTAACACTTAAGACTTGTTATACTAACACTTAAGCTAGGTGCGCCATTTTTAGCACTGGATCTTGACCCTATATTTGCATAAAAAAAAATTGTGCATTGGTAATTTGATATTATCAATCGCCACTCAAAGTGTAACAAGTGTGTGTGTGTCTATACATACATATATATATATATATATATATATATATATATATATATATATATATATATATATATATATATATATATATATATATATATATATATATATATATATATACACACACACACACACATTCAGGTAAAACACACCTTAAAATACAAACGTGAGGATGAAATGGGACCGTTGGATTTTAAGTTTGGATGGCCATGATTGTATCGGTCGGTTAATGTGTTTCTACAGTAAGATTATTAAGTTTTTATGTTTAGGGGGGTAATTGTGGTATTTTGCTTACATACTATCCTAGTCAAATTAGTCCTTCACTTGCACTTACATGTGCACGTTTGGTGTTTCTCCCAATCCGCGTTCGTCTCTCTCTCCGTGCGTAGAAGGCATCCGCGATTTGCGTCGACTTAACTGATTCCTCCTTCGTTCTTCACTTCCATGTAGCAATGGTTGTTGGTGGGGACCGTGGTACATCGAAGAGGCGGGGACCACCTGTTGGAACTGCCAGCCGAGGTATGTGGACATCTATTATTGGCTGTTTTTTATTTTTTATTTTATTTTTTGTGGATTCTTGTGTTTTGTGTGTTGTGTGTTTTTTTTTCTTTGTTGGGGGTTCGCTAGTTTGTAGGCGTCTTAATTAGTCGTTTTGTGTGCAGGATTTTTTCCTCATTCTTCATCGTGGTCACTATTTCCTTTTGTGTTTTGATTTCTCCCGATATCGTTATGAAATTATTGACAATGACTCTAATCCAAAGTAAATGTGTTGAAATATGGCTAGTCTATCGAGGATATGGTTAGTGTTGCTACCGTTAGACACCATCTCCTCTTTTTTTCTTTCACTTATTGACTTCCCTAACATTTGTCTCTAGTTTGCTTTTTGTGTCAATGTTTCCTTTTTTCTTTTGGGATTGCATAAGGATATGCTATCCGAGTTCTTTAAGGATATTTTTCCTGGGAGGTCAGCATTATATATATATATATATATATATATATATATATATATATATATATATATATATGGTTGAGTTCAAATGAGGACAACAATATATAGAGGACTGTGAGGGTAAATAATGGGCACACAACAAATTAATACCAGGCACACAAGAATAAATGTAAACATCATGTTTCGAACTCAGGCTCTATAAATTAACAAATCTAACACGCGACATACAAACTGTGGCACACGACTACATTCGGCCATGCACACGACATACCAGCTAATGGCACACACTACATCTGTCCTCACAGTCCTCTAAAATATACTTGTCCTCTATAATAAGCTGATAAATGTAAAAAGACAAAAGGATATTTTCATAAAATTAAAATAGTTTTAAATTTAAATGTTTTTTTTTTACATATTAAAATTTAACATATTGAAATGAACGAACGATTGGAGTTGGAACTTTAAGGAGTTGCTGGGCGTTGAAGAGTTGTGGAAGATGATGAATACAATTAAAATATAGGAGGAGAAAAAGTCAAAAGAGTTTTAATTGAGAGGATAAAGGATGTCATTTATTTAAAATATAATAAGGATGAAGATGCTTTCTATCTCCATGCTTATTTTTTTTTAAAGGATTTATTTTGAAATCAAATATTAAAACATGCACAACCAAATATGTAATATTACATAAGAATACAGATATTAAGGACTAAATTTAGAAGAATAATTTAGGTTATTTTCAACCAAGTTAAATATTGACTAGTAGATAGAGATGAGTAATATTACACATACTCTCATTTTCTATTTCCTATTTAACTGGCACACTTTAATTCATTCATTGTTTCAAAAGGTTGAACCCTAACACTACAGCTGGTGAGACTCAATCCCTGATCATCCTTCCGAACTTTCACCTCTATGACCAGTTTAGCTGACCATGAGGGCCACTCTAATTCATTCATAAAAATATAAATTACAATTTTTATTACTTTCGTTTCTTCTCCCTCCAATAAAATTAAAATATGTGACGGGAGTGCTTTATCATTTTCAGATAGAGATAGCTACAGAACAGACAGATTTTGGTCCTTGGTTACGTTCCACTTATCCTATACCACTTAAAAAAAAGTTGGTCTCAAGTTGAGAGAATGCCGAATCTAAGGCCATCTACAGCGCTACAATTGCTAGCAAGATTATGTGGTAAAATAAAATAAAATATAACGGAGTTTTTTTTATTGATAAAATAAAATTAAAAAAAAATTTGGTTAATATGAAAGTAAGACTACATTTCAAAGTTATTTTTGAAAGGTAATTAGTTCTCAAAGGGGAAACCCGAGGGGTTCACCTACGTATTCTAAGTTCTAACCTTAAAAAGTTTTGGTAAATGAGTAAATCAAACATGTATCTTAACACTCTTACCTTATCAGAAGTTGTTATAGGCGATTGTCCGTAACTATAATGAGCTAAATCTATATTATTATTTTTGGTAAAATTTAAACCGGCACACTGCAATTGCTCGAAAGTACGTAGTTAACTTTACTTGTTGGGAGAAAACGTGGTAAAATAGAAGTTAGGCGGAGCCTTTTTTTTTTTTGAATGCAAGTTAGGCGGAGCCTAAAGGCTTTCCTCTTATTATATAAATAAACTACCAATATAATACATGCATCTATCTTCTTCATCCTCTGCAAATTAAAACATGGCTTCATCTCTCCGTTCATTTGCAGCTGCCCTTCTGTTTGTGATGCTGTTCATGGCCACTGGTTTGCCTTCTCCTACTTCTTCTTCTTCCTTTCTTCTTAACAGAACTGTACTTAATTGTTAGGATTAAACGCTTACCACCTACTCCTAAAGCTATGGCCAGTAGCGAATGTGCAATTTTATTTCCTTATATTATCACACATTTTCCACACATTAAGTGCTAGATTTGACCCTTTAAACCCTTACAGGCATCCGCCCAACAATTGCCAACCACCAGGTGCTAGGTTTCGCTTTATGCTAGCCTCTGCCCAATAGTATTGACCCAAAACTCCCATTTTTGTTGTTTTATAAATACAATCCATATACCATAGACTAGGGTTCACAGTGCATGTGAGACCTGGTGCATGTTTATGTGAGTTTTTTATATCTTGTATTGTATTTTGTACCTTATTGTTTCATTTCATAATCCATAATGTTATTTGGACCCTGGTCCATGATATAAATTGCCGTATAAATATGCATATGAATGAATGTACGCTGTAATTGTTTGCAGAGGTGGGAAGAAACACAATAATGGTGGCGGAGGCGAGGAATTGCAAGACGCCGAGCGCCAAGTACGAGAGGCCATGTTTTACGTCAGCGTCTTGCTCAAGGGTTTGCCGGAAGTACGAGGAGTTAATCGACGGCACCTGCGAAGGAGGGGCATCCAGACATGTGCATTAGGCCTTGCTAATTCATCAATCAACCTCTCTCCTTCTCTCTCTCTATATATATATATAGTTGAGTTCAAATGATGAGCACTATATTATAAAGGACTGTACGGATTGGTATAATCGTGTGCCATAGTTTGCATGTATTGTGTATTAAGTTTATTAACTAATAAAGTTTGAGTTTAAAATCTGATGTGTATTATTGTGTGTGCCCGTAATTAGTCCGCACACTACTCTATATATATATATATATATATATATATATATATATATATATATATACATACCATTATGTTCATATGAGACAATATCTTTTCGTGAGATTGAGACACAACGTGAATGCACACAGTCTAGAGCGTGTCCATATTCTTTAGCTGCTCTGATCTCTGTGTAGGTGTATGGCTAAATAAATGTTACAAATTCAACCATGGACTTTTCTCTCTCTACTTGTTAAATTTTAAGCACCCAAAACCGCGGTGGTATTAATATTACTAGTAGGGATAGAAAAAAAGTTATTATATATTTAGATAATAAAATTAAAAAATATTATAAACAATTTTAATATTAAAAAATGTTTATTTATTTGATTATAAAATTAGTATAAAAGTATCACTTAATTAATTAGATAATATATGATTCGTTTGCTTGCAATTATCTTGAAAATTAAAGTATGATTTATGTAATTATATTATTACTAAAATAAATATGAAAAAAAAAAGAAAGAAATAATTTAATTGTAATTATTATAAAAAAAATTCATCCATCATGATTAGCTTAAATACCATAATAATTATTAAGACATTATATTAATTGCTGTGCAATTATACTTTTATGTCTTAAATATATTCTTTTTTACTATATCACATTTTTTTCCTCCTCCATACCTGAATGAATTGATTGTAATTATTATAAAAATAAATCCAACAACTCATGTTTAATTGTATTATACTAATATTAGTATAATTATTAGCTTAGCTAACATAATAGTTATTAGATAATTATACTAATATTGTGCAATTATATTTTTATACATTAAGTACAAATAGATACTATGTATATATATAGAGAGAGAGAGAGATTAACATAAAATTATCAAAACAATTTCACGGAAGAATGTGAATGGTAAATAAATAAAGAGTAAATACCCAAAATGGTCCCTCGACTATAGCTAAATTCACAAATTGGTCATCGACTTTCAATTTCAACCAATTAAGTCCTTAACTTTGTAATTTTGACACGATTTGGTCCTCCATCTATTTGACCGTCTGTTGACTGTGATCTTTGAGGATATATATGTAATTTCATGGTCCACCGTCGGTTTTTTAAGGTTTCGGTTGCATTTTCAGACCGCACTGTTACATTTGAATCCACTGCCGAAAGCAATTTACCAAATCCGGTCGCCTTTCTTCATCCTTCCTTTGGATTCAATGTAGTTGAGTTCGTACCAGAGCGAAGAAGACGGTGTGTTTCCGAACCAGTGCAACATCATCATGGAGGCCTCCACGTGCTCCGACGAGAGCTGAAGGTTCTTCTGGAGATCGTTGATCACGGTCAACAAACGGTCAAATAGATGGAGGACCAAATCATGTCAAAATTGCAAAGTTAAGGACTTAATTGGTTAAAATTAAAAGTCGATGACCAATTTGTGAATTTAGCTATAGTCGATGGACCATTTTGGGTATTTACTCATAAATAAATATTGTTCATGCTCAAAGACTCATCGTTCTCATCAATGAAAAGTTTAGGTTTTTTCGATTGTTTCTATAACAGTACTACTTGTTTCCTAACATCATCAGGCAAATTCAATCTTTTTATTGGCAAAACATCCAATATAGTGGAAATTTCTTGGTTCAGATCTTGGAAATGACTCGAATTGAAAAAGAACCTCTGTTTTCTCAAAGGCATTTCATAGCGACAGATTAGAGAAAATCTGTATTTTCCAGATGAGAGATTTGGAGTTCTTGTGCTGGTACGCCAAACCCTCCTTGACGACAAAAAATGACGAAATCAGCTCTGTAGCCAACACCACCGGCATCTCCACTAAGAACGCCTCCAACTAAAAAAATATATATATATCTTGAAAATTGCAAGAAGATAAATTTGTATAATTTTTAAAAAAGAAAGTGTAATTAATTTTTTAAAAAAGAAAGAAGATACTACTACTACTATTCATAGAAGGAATAAGGTTCAAATTGGCCACTGAACGTAACATGAAAATGCAATTAGGTCACTGAACGAAAAAAAAGTACAATTAGGCCACTGAACACTCCAAATGTATGCAATTTCACCTCATAGTAGGTTACTATCAATTTTAGCAGGTTACCTGCTTACGTGGCAGCTGAGTTGGCATTTTTAATAATTTTTAATAAAGTTTAATAATAAAGTTTTGTTAAAAAAATTATTTAAAACAAATTTAATTTTTTTAAAATTTATTTATTTATTTTTTCAATTTTTTTTTAAAAATGTATTATTAAAAGTTATTAAAAATTATTTAAAAATTATTAAAAATGCCAACTCAGCCGCCACGTAAGCAGGTAACCTGCTAAAATTGATGGTAGCCTGCTATTTGGTGAAATTGCATACATTTGGAGTTCAGTGGCCTAATTGCACGTTTTTGAGTGTTCAGTGGTCTAATTGCATATTTTTTTCGTTCAGTGGCCTATTCCATTTTCAGGTTACGTTCAGTAGCTAATTTGAACCTTATTCCTTATTTTAATTAATATGAAAGTAAGACTATTTTCAAAGTTATTTTTGAAAAGAGTTAATACCCAAAATGGTCCATCGACTATGCCATAATTACCAATTTGGTCCTCAACTACCATTCTTACCCAATTAAGTCCTCAACTATGTAACTTTTACTCAATTAAGTCCTCAACTATACAATTCTTACCCAATTTAGTCCTCAACTATACAATTCTTACCCAATTTAGTCCTCTGTATTAATTTGACTGTTTGTTGACTGTCAAAAGTCAGGATAAAATTATAATTTTACAAGATTTCTCCTTCCTCTCCATTTAGCAGCGCCAAACCATGCAGCAATACACTCCAATCAGATTTCGATCGTCAAAAAATCGTTGGAAATCAAATTCATGGGCTATCCGATGCATAACCACTACTTCGATACTGACAGGTTTAGAACCCAACCGGAGCTTATTGCTACATGGTTTAGCGCTGCTAAATGAGGAGGAAAGAGAAAACTTGTAAAATTACAACTTTATTTCCACTTTTAACAGTCAACAAACAGTCAAATTGACAAAGGACTAAATTGGGTAAAAATTATATAGTTGAGGACTTAATTGGGTAAGAATGATAATCGAGGACCAAATTGGTAATTACGACATAGTCGAAGGACTATTTTGGGTATTAAGTCTTTTGAAAAGTTCAAAGGGCAAACCGGAGGGGTTCACGTATTCTAACCTTAAAGTTTAGGTAAATGAGTAAACCAAACATGTGTCTTTAACACTCTTACTTTATACGAAGTTGTTATAGGCAATTATCAATAACTATAATGAGCTAAATCTATATTATTATTTTTGGTAAAATATAAACCCGCACATTGCTATTGCTCGAAAGTACGTACTTAACTTTACTGGTATAGTAGAAGTTAGGCGGAGCCTAAACGCTTTCCTCTTATTATATAAACTACCAATACCAAAGCCTCAACAATTCACTTACACCACCATATCTTATAAATACATAAGGCTACCCGGAAAACAACTCCATCTATATATCTTCTTCATACTCTGCAAAACATGGCTTCATCTCTCCGTTCATTTGCAGCTTCCCTTCTCTTTGTCATGCTGTTCATGGCCACTGGTTTGCCTCCTCCTTCCTTTCATCTTAACTGAACTGTACTTAATTGTTATGATTAAATGCTTACCACCTACGCCTAAAGCTATAGCCAGTAGCGAAGTCGCAATTTTATTTTCTTATACTGGCACACAATTTCGTTTTCAACATACTGGGTGCTGGATTTGGCCCTTTAAGCCCTTATCGGCCTTCGTCCAACAATCCCAGCCACTGAGTGCTAGGCTTGGCCTTATTCCAGCCTCCGCCCAACAATCTCAGCCACCGAATGCTAGGCTTGGTCTAATATTAGCCTTCGCCCAACAGGACCCAAAACTCCGATTTTTGTTGTTTTATAAATACAATCCTTATACCATGGACTAAGGTTAACAGTGCACTATGGACCGTGGCACATGTTTATTTGAATTTTTGTGTCTTGTGTTATAAATTATGTGCCATAAGATGATAAATTTGTATTTGATTTAAGATTCATAATACTCTGTGGACCCTGGTCCATGATATAAATTGCCTTGTAAATATGCATATGAATGAATGTATGTTGTAATTGTGTGCAGAGCTGGGGAGAAACACAATATTGATGGCGGAGGCGAGGAAGTGCGAGACGCCGAGCGCCAAGTACAAGGGATTATGTGGTCGGAAAAGTAACTGCGCAGCGGTTTGCCTGACGGAGGGGTTCCCGGACGGCGAGTGCAGAGGGTTTAGGCGCCGCTGCATCTGCAATAAGCCTTGCTAATTCATCGATATAATGGCTAAACAATAAATGTTACAAATCCAACGAACCATGGAGCCTTAGCTTCTCTATGATCTGCTTGTTAAATTTTAAGCGCGGTTGAAAGTTGGTTTTAATGGTTATATGAAAATTAACAGTATCATCCTCAAGGAATGACTTTAAGGGTATTTAGTGAGAGGTTAAGCACTACTTCGTATACTGTTTGAAAGCTAATTAATCGACAATTGAGTGTTGCATGATCATAATCTATAAAGTTAACAAGTGAAATAAAAGATAATAAATGAAAGAGATATTTGAACTAAACAACTTTAATAGAATACCTTGTGTGGTAAGTTTAAGTTATGCAATTCCAAATGTCCACATTGGGGAAATGGTGTAAATGTCAACGTCATTCTCGTGATTAATTAGACTATCAACTAATCCTAAGTCCTATTCTCATGGCAACTTGACTAGATGATGCAATTCAACAAACACTTTGTGTGCTCATTTCCTTCAAACTCCCTTTCTTAAAGAAAAGTAAGAAACTATTCTCGTCATTCACCCTTAACCAAAGGTCAAAGGTTCGATCCTTGGCTTTGGGAATGGAGCAGCCTTAAATCTCCAGGCCAGCTGTCCCACCCAAAAGAGGTGCATACAATCCAGCTAGGGGATTAGTCACTGTGTCTGACGGTGAAAACCCTGGATATATTCCAAAAAAAATAAAAATATGAAAGATATAGGTATGATGTAACCCTATCTATTCTCATAAATGAATCACCAATTTCAAATATCTCTTGCATAATTTGGCATTAATTCATACACCAATTTAAGCATTGTTCATTAAGTCAAAAATAAGCATAAATAAGCACAAATATAAGGCTATTTTATGGCGTATCAACCGTAAACCGGGGTCACATTAATATAATGGTAAACAAGTTTAAGAAAACTATGCTGTCGACTGGCCTAACTTCTAACACTAGAGAAAAATTGTGCATTGGTAGTTTCGCATTATCAATCGCCACTCAAAGTGTAACAAGTATGTGTATATATATATATATATATATATATATATATATATATATATCATTATTTTAAAGAAAAAATGTCGATCAAAATAAGTTGGGATTGGGGACTAGTCACTGCGATAGGGCTATAGGGCAACCTTAATTGTCCTACGGGTTCACTAGTGTATTTCTCGACTTTATTAGTGTGTTTTGTTAGATATAAATATAGTATAATCTCGTAATAGTGGAAGTGAAAGTCGTGTTGATTTCAAGTCATAGTTGATATTATGTTGTGTCCCATACTTGACTCATATTCCTAGATGGTGTATTGGTATGTACTGAGCAGTATGAGAACCATAACTTTACGTGCTATATATTGAATGTCATGTATCCCATCAATATATAGGATTTATATAGGCATAATGGTGGAATACAGACTAAACCTAGATGTCCGATCCAGTCCAACCAAACTACTTAATGGGCATAGTCCACTTGCACCACATAATTAAGACTCATATTATATAATATATTATACGAAAAAAAATCTAATATTCTACCACTTGGTGCAAGTACTAGCACAACTCTCATCAAAGAACAAAATACATGAATCATAGTGATATGTCATCTATTTGAAAGAGTAATTGTAAGCATATAAATCACGTAGGAACATAAATACGTGATACACAGGATCGTGTTAAAGTACTACGTACTAACCTCCAGCCATAGCTTCCGATAGATGATGATTGAGTAGTCACGGAACTGCTGCGGCAGAGTAACAGTATATGTTTCTCTCACTTTCTCAACCCTCTCTGGATGGTGTATGAGGAATGAATGTCAAGCAGTGAGATGACTAGAGGGCTCTTTATACAATAACCATATGCCATCAATATGGTAACTGAATCCCTTCCTAATCACACTCCTTATCTTTTACAATCAATCATTACCTTAATTGATAGGAGTATGTATGGAGGAATTGCACCACATAACGGATTACCTTAATTATTATAAGGTTGACCTAATATTATAATAATGTAATCTGGGAAAACTTTACATTCTCCCACTTGGTGCAAACTCCATAACCCAAAAACAGAAAAACACCGACCATAGTGATATGTCCTCCTTAAATCGAGTAGCATCCATTATGATCAAATGTAAACCGCCCTTGAGCACTTAATTTAGGAAATAAAAACTTAATGAAACAAGCCCTACGTTTATTTCAAGTCCAACTGAAGTACATTATCTCAACAAAATAAAGGTGTACACACTTAATGAGATTAATGTCAAAATGCAAAAGAATTTCATTAAAACTGAATACTGAATGTATATATACAAATTACAAAGTGGGCGAAAGTCTCATTTTCTTAACAAGATCCTTGAATTTAACTGAAGGCATGCATTTAGTCAAGGGATCTGCTAACATCAACTCAGTAGTAATGGCTAAGAACTTGATGTCGAGGTGCTTAATTCGACTCCCACTTTTTTCTTAGCCAGGAAGACTGTAGCTGAGTTGTCACAATAGACTTTCAGTGGCTTAGATATAGAGTCCATAACTCTAAGCCCAAAGATGAAATTCTTGAGCCACACACCTTATGAAGTGGCCTCGTAACAAGAAACGAACTCGGCTTCCATGGTAGAAGTAGTTATTAAAGACTAACACTTCTCCATGAGATAGCCCCACCGACCATAATAAAAATGTACCCTAAAGTTGATCTTCGAGAATCAACATAGCCAGCGAAGTCCGTATCAGAATAATCGACAACATCTAGGATGTCCGTCTGCCTAAACCCAAGCACGTGTCTCTTAGTTCCTTTTAGATACCTCAAAACCCTCTTCAAGATAAATTGTTTCACATAAGAAACATCTCATTGTCATTGGTGACAAGCAAAATGTCATCCACATATAAAACAAGAAAGCATATTTTACTCCCACTCACCTTCCGGTATATACAATGGTCAAGAGGATTTTCAACAAAACCAAATGAAGAAATAACCCCATCGAACTTGATATACCATTGATGGGAAGCTTGTTTTAGACCGTATATGGATTCTTAAGCTTACAAACTAAATTCTCACCACCCCTAGAAGAGAAACCTATAAACTTTCTCTTCTAGATCACTATTAAGAAACACACTTTTCACATCCATTTGTTGCAACTAAAGATTGAAATTTGCAACCAATGCCAAAATGACTCGAAGTGAATCTTTCTTTAATACAAGAGAAAATATCTCCTTGTAATCGATTCCTTCCTTTTGAGTAAATCCCTTCACAACAAGTTGGGCCTTGTATCTATCAATATTGTCTAATGAATCTCTTTTGATTTTAAAGACCCATTTACAAACCATAAGGCAATTCATGGAATTTATTTCATGGCTTTATACCATAAGTTAGATTGGGCACATTTAGTGGCTTGAGAAAATGTCTTAGGATCATTTTCGACTCCAATGTCAGATTCTTGTAGATAAGACACGTAATAACTAGGTACTGTTGATCTTTTCAACTGAGTAGACCGTCTTAATGTTGAACCTCCATCATCTTGCAAAGGTTGTGGTGCAACTACCTCTTCAAGAACTGGGGGCAGTCCTTGGATTGGTTCAGTCTGTATCGGTTCAGAATTTTGTAAATCCTGAATTGGTTCAACCATAAGTTTAGAATCTAGTTAAGGAAATTGCTATAAGTCCTGAAGTGATTCTTCCAAAGGTTGAGTCTCAACAGTTTGTGGAATCTTAACAGTAGGTTGTATAATCGCAAATGGGACCGTAGGAACATTGCGTATAATTACAACCCCATTAGACGACGTAGAAGGTTGAGAGCCATTATGATCGAATGAAGGAACCAAGTCCTTTAATCAATCTCTCCCACTGATCAAGTCATCTTCAAAAAACTTAGTGTTCCTTGATTCCAGTATCCTAGTAGTATGAGATGGACAATAAAACCTATAACCCTTAGAAGATTGTGCATATCCAATAAAGAAAGCACTAATAGTCCATGGGTCAAGCTTCTTTTCGTGCAGGTTATATATCCTCCCCTCAGACGGACATCTCTAAATACGCATATGTTGCAAACTCGGTTTCCAATCTTTGAAGAACTCAAATGGTATCTTAAGGACAACCTTGGTTGGAACACGGTTTAATATATACGTTTCCGTCTTAAGTGTTTCACCCCATCAGACAATGTACCATCTCATCTAATGTCAAAACAAAACATTATTCAAAAAACTAATTCGCAAATTTCAACAGCTTCAACTAGTGATGCAATCTTGTTTCCAGATAAGATGCTTCACTCAGTTCCCGTCGGCTGCCTTAGATTCTGCATGTTCTGCAAAGAATTTGCAATGTGGATTGGTGAACCAGAATCAATCCATCAAGAATTAGTATTAACATCTGACATATTAGATTAAGAATATATAAAGAAGGGGAAATATTACCCTTATCAGACATCCACTTCTTGAATTTGGTACAATCTTTCTTCATGTGTCCTTTCTTTTTACAGAAGAAACACTTTTATACCTTCTTAATATCAGCTTTTGAGGTCAATTTCCCCTTTGTTGCTGCAGTGAATCCCTTGATTTTCCCAAATTTTTCTTTAGGCTTTGTTGTGGCCAACATAGCACTCTCCCCAACCTCTTCAATAAGCCTTTCTTCCTCTTGTGCACACATGGTTATCAAGTCATTGATAAACCATTTGTCCTTATGTGTGTTGTAGGAAATCTTAAAGGGGCTATAATGGTGAGGGAGGGTGTTAAGTGCAAAATGCACAACAAAGGTATCTGGCAAAATTATTTCCAACTTATTCAGTTGAGCCGCAATATCCCTTACTTGCATGATGTGTTTGCGCGTGCCCTTAATAGTGGAAAGACGAAGACCAACAAACTTCATGATTAGAGTACTTGCCAAAGCTTTATTGGATGTAACAAATTGTTCATCAATAGCTTTGAACAAGGGTTCGACTTTATCACAATGGTCAATTGACCCACGAATGCTTCTTGGGATTCGTGTCTTAATGAAATACACACACAACCGATTAGATCTAATCCATTGTGAATGAAATTTCTTGTCAGCCTCAGAGCTATCATTAGTGATAGGAGCAGGCTCTTTATTGTGAATAGCGAAATCCATCTCTAACAACCCTAAGTGTAGGAGAACAACGTCTTTCCATTCTTGGTGATTATCATAGTTTAGCATA